TGGTCTTAGCTGAAATATGTATAGTATTCCATTTAATAATAAGGTGAAAGGAAGAGAATATAAATTTTGTTATTTAAGTGGAGAAATTAGCTGGAAGAAAATATCACTACTTCCAAATATAATACTTTGTATACTATAAGAGTACTTATAATAACTGTATGATTTAAACTTATCATATAATTCTCTTTTTAGATATGGAGAACCTATTATAGTCTTGATTCTGATCTCCACAGGGAAGAAACGATTCTGACCAAATAAAAAATAATGAGAAATATAAATAGGCATTTTTCTGGTCTTTTTCATTTCTTATTAAAAGAAAAACTGATATCTAAAAGTAATAATCAGATCAATATTACTTCATCAACCACTACTTCAAAGAAAACTTTCATTAGTATTCCACTGAGTTAGCTCATTTCTTAATATGTCACATATATTAATGTATAAAAAATGAAATGAAGGGGTCATTTATGAGGTGACAAAAGGATATTTGACTTTGGGTGGTAAATACAATGCAGTGTATTAATAATATATTATAGAATTGTACACCTGAAACCTATATAATTTTATTAACCAATGACACCCCAACAAATTTAATTTAAAATTCTAAGGAATGAAATGGTCCTTTGTGAAAACCTAACAATAAACAATAAATAGCATCTTGAGAAGAGTTAAATTTAAGTTTATATGCATTCACAGAGACACAGAGATACTCTTTCATCATAGCTGCACCCACTTTGTTCTATTACATATTTGAGATCTATATTGCATATGTCTACTTGAGTTAATGGCTTCAGAGAGCTAGAACTCTTTAATGATGTTTTATACAAAATAAATGGCCAGAGCAAAAAGAGGTATTGTTTGAGAATATAAGACCAAGGTGATTATAGAGCATTAAAAACACTATATGACAAAATGCTGCCATCTTATACCAAGAAATGCTGATATTGTAGTGCTCAGTTTTACAAAGGCCTATGTTTAGTGGCATGAAAACTTGGGGAATAAAAGAAAAGAAATATTTTGCCTGCTTTTAATGAAATGGTGAAGTGATAATTAAGTGAAATAAAAAGTGTCATTCTAGTAAGAATACAATGGAAGTCTTAATATAGCACATTTTATTTGAAGAGTTCAAATGCTGAACAAGGGAATTACTAATCAGAACCATGCATTATGTAAGGAGAACGTTTTACAAATTGGATATAAAAAGGAGCAGGAAAATAACTTTCCCCAGGTCACATCATTCTTACATGGCATAGCTAAAAACTGAACATATACTATCATAGTATATATAGAATTTTCTGGTAACATTTGCATTGTTAAAGTATTATTGATTTTTTTTAAAATAAGTCAACAGTAGACAAGCATCCTCTTCCAAATTTCTATTCCGAAAAGCAGTTATGATAGTTTGAATTTTCTAAAAAGTCAAAAAATGTTTGGAGTACAAGTTTTGTTACATTAGTCATAAAAATCTTTTGGATTTGTATAAAATTGAAAACATGAGGAAAGCATCAGTATTTTCTGTGTCCTCTCTATGTCCTCCTGACCATGGTGCAAATCAACTTCTTTGTTTAGAAGCACTTGACAGGTGTTCACGGAAGGCCTTGTTACATGAATGTAGATAGCATCAACTATCACTTTTATCTTGTCCTCAGAGCTATAGAAGAAGTTTAAATAGAGGCAGGCTTTCAGGAGGGATGGGTTACACGTATAGGTGTTTTTTAAGATCAAAAAAACATTCTCCTGGCTCTCTTAACCCAAGAGAGTTGGAGACTAATTCTTCTCCATGACACTTTTTTTTTTTTTTAATAGCCCATATTCTAGCCTGGAGGAGTAAGCACAGTAAAATGAGTTTTAAAAGATAGGGAAAAGATGGGAAATTAGCAATCAAGGTACACTGACATTTTCTAGTAATAAAACTTATATGAATTATGTGCATCCAGCCTGTCTGAAAGAATTAGAAAAGGCAAAGAAAACAACTGCGCCTTGTCCTGATAGGCCTTTTACCTTAGGTAGCCAGAAACAGTTTTGAGCTGAAGGTATCTGAGCGAGTAGGTTCTTAGCTCACCCTTCTACTTACACATGAGAAAGCTGAAGCCCAAAAAAGGTGAAATGACTTTCTCAATGGGCCTGAAGATAGGTCCTGGCCCAAACCTAGAAAAGCAGTTGTAATTGTATTGGATTAAATACATCACCAAAGAAAAAAACAACACTTACTGGATACTAAGCAGTTTTCAGTTTTAAAATGCATAAATAGTTTCACATTATGAAAGGACATTTGATTTCAGTTGATGTTTTTCCCTAGGCCTTCCTGAGATAAATTGATACTTTCTGAACATAATATACTGATAATACAAAAAAAAAAAAAAGTGTGTGTGTGTGTGGGGGGGGGCGGGACACTTTAAGGATGTTTATGTCTTGTAATTACCTTCATGTCAGTGAGCATTTAAGAAAAAAATCCGAAGAGGAGGGCGCCCAGATGAACCACGTGAAGAAACAGTTAACTGCAGGGCCCCACCTCCTTGTTGTAAATAATCAAGGAAAGCCTTTTTAAAAGCAATACAAAATGTCACCACAGGCTGACGCTCTTTCGATAAGAATAATGAGGCCCTTTGCTCCCGAGATGATGCGCACCTACTTCATGGCCTTTATAATCCCGCTTTCAGTTTCCGTGGTTCCTGTACACTTTCCCTTCCCTTCAAAAGCTGGTAACATGCCATGCCTACAATCTATCAATGGCTGGTCTGCAGGAGCAGGTTCATAAACTCGAAAGCGTGTCCTCTGGATCCGGACCCGCCGGGTAGAACTGCAGGAAATGCAGGGCGCCAGCGGGGAGTCCCTGGCCCCCGGGACTGAGCTGGCTGGCAGCAGGCGCCCTGGCGATCCAGGCTGGCTCTCCAGTCCGGACCGGGCGCTTTCAGTGCCACCGTCTTTTCCGTTAAAACACACCGACCCACCGAGAGTTTCGCGCATCGGCCAGCCCCAGCCGGTAAATTCAAGGAAACCGCTGATGTGAGGGGCTGAGGCTCTGACCCCCGGGGGAGCCCCGCCTGGCGCTCGCGGAAAAGGAGAAAGAATGGGCGCGGAGACCAAAAGCCCGAGCGGCCGGCGCGCCACGGGAATAGCCACGAAGGGGATCAGAAAGAGGAACCTCTCCTCCTTTTAGCAGTTAAACGTGCGGGGGGAAAACCTGTCCCAGGAGCTGACCCCGCAGGAAAGGAACACCGGGGCAACTTCAGGGGAAAGGAAACTGGGTGTGCTCCCGGGGTGGGGCTGTGCCCCGGGGTGCGGCTGTAGGTGAGAGGAGATGACAGTCTCCGAGCTTAGAAAGGGTTACACTGAAATCCAACTGTGGGCGTGATTTTCTTTGCATTTTACGAACTACAGCACCCTCGTCCTCCCTTCTCTCCTCTTGGCTCCAGATTGAGCCAAGCAACGCTGGGATCAGGGGGGGAAAAAAAGGGGGGGGGTCCACACTGTTGCCAAAAACCTCAGGGGGTCTCTCCTCCCGCCCCCCCCCTCCCAGGTTCCTGCCCTCCCCGCACCCACCTGCTTTATAACCGACGGAACCCGCGTTTCACAGTCCCCGCTCCACACCCCACCCGGAGACGGTTCACACACGCCTCCTTCTCCAACCTCAGAACAGCAGGTGAGCTCATGGCCTCGCCCAGAAATGGAACTTTGAGAAGGAGATCGCCCCCCTCCCCCGCGCCACTGCCAACCACAAACACTCACAGCTGCAGGTCACAAACACTCAGCATCCTCAGATTCCAGCCCCCCTGCCCTCTCCCCCTCTCCCCGCCTTTTCCTGGGAGCGATCCAGAGGCTTTCAAACCTCCTCTCTGGCTCCAACTTGCCAACAACCAAAGGGATGAGCACACATTAAAGATGGCAAAGGGAAGTGAGTTTTAATTTGAAAAAAAAAAAAAAAAACACTAAAAGAGAGAAACAAACAGAACCTCAAGTAACAGGAAGTAGGAGTTGTGCTTGCAACTGTCTCTAAAGGGCTAGCGACGTAAACTTTATATGGAAAAAAAACCTAAAAAATCCTCAAGTCTCGACAGGAAATAAACCTGCTGCTCTGTCGGCGGCGAGGGACCCACTCCTGTCAGCCGCCCTCTGGTCTGGGCATGGCAGAGCCAGGGGACAGCCCTAGGGTGAGAAAAGGGATTTCCGTCGAGAGATATTTTAGTGTTGGGGGGTTTTGCCCTTTTTTAAAAAAAAATATTATTCCGAGGCTCAGAACAGAACTGAGATCTGAGGTTGAATCACAAGTCCTGGAAAATGCACAAGCCCCGCGCTGAGGTCTCACCAGCCCGGCTGGGCTCTCCACCCGCCGTCAATCCTGAACTCACCGCCCACCCAGGCCACGCGGAGGGGGCGTCCGAGCGGCATGTGGGGTTTAGGTCAGGACTTTCAGGGAAGCTGGTCAAGTGCTCTTTCTCCTCTCCCTCTCCCAGCGCCTCCGGACTCTTACCACGGGGAAGTTACCAGGGGATTTAATCACAAAAAAAAAAAAAAAAAAAAAAAAAAAAAAAAAAAAAAAAAAAAGTAGGGGCAAGTGATTGCCTCCGAGAGCTAAGCGAAAGGAAAACTGCCTGGAGCGGAGTGACGTGGACCTGGGGACCCGGGGACCGGACTGTCAGGGGCGAGAGCTCGCCGCCTAGGCGGGAACCACTGGAGGGAAGGGGGGGGGGGCGGGCGAGGCAGGCGAATGCACCTCTCAGATCCCTGGGGCCCCGACCCCGGCCGCACCCAAAGTTCCTGGAGATTCACCCGGTGCCCCCGTGGCTGCGCAAACTTAAGCCAACCGCCCTGCCGAGGAGCCCGAACAGCGGCACAGGTGCCTGCGCCCAGGGCCGGTCCCGCGCCCGCTTCGCGGTCCTTTGGCCTCCAGGACGCACCCAGGCGCCCTGCCCCGCGGGGCCAGGCCGGGGCGGGGGCACCCAAGGGAAACTGCCCCGGCCCACGTCGTCCTGGGGGGGCTACTGGAGGCCTCTGCTCACCTGGCCTGAGGACAGCAGCGGAGATCAGGAGGCAGAAGACCAGACGGCAGGAGGGGGCCGCCTTCGATGCCATATTCCTCCTCCTCCTCCTCCTTCTCCTCCTTCTCGGGAGTCACCGACGGAGTCCGCGCCGCAGGAGCAGGAGCAGGAGGGGGCGACGTTCCCTGCCCCGCGCTGCCCGCGCTCTGGGCGGCGGGTCGGGGCGCAGGGGGCAGCCGCTTCTTCTCCCAGACACACCGCCTCCCCCCGCGCTGTGGGCGCCGCACCTTCGGGTCCGCGCTGCACGTAACTTTCCGCCACGCAGGGGCCAACTCCTGCGCCCTCCTTTGCACACTGGCCCTCGGCCCGCTCGGCTGCTTCTCCTCCCGGGACGGCGACCCTCTCTTCTCCTCGGGAGACACTTGAGCAATTCAGAAAGGTGTACGTGGTTCTTTTTTTTTTTTTTTTCCCGGTCTGTTATTCCCCTTTTCTTGGAATAATAATGCTGATGATAGTGGCGGCGTGCGTACAAAGCAGGGTGCCAGGAAGGAAACAGCCGGGGATGGCAACAGGGGGCAGCGGGTCCAGGCTGTTGGTCTCCTCAGGTGGCAGCAGTGGAGGCAGCAGTAGCAGCAGCAGGGATAGCAGCGGCGGCGGCAGCACTCGGGGCTGCTCTGAGTGGAGCACTGGAAGGCGTGGGGAAGCTGCCGGTCTCCTCCTCCCTCCGCCTCTCCTCTCCCTCCCCCCTCCCCTCTCCACTCCCGCCTTCCCAGGACGCTGCCGCACGGAGCAGGTGGTTGCAGCGCAGACCCGCAGCCTAGAGGCGCTGCAGGACCGAGGCGAAGGCTCAGCCCGGCTCAGACTCTGCGCCCGGGAGGCGGGCCCTCGAGGGGGCGGGGCTCCTCCGGGACACGCCCCCGGCGCCAGCCCGCCAATAGGGAGCGGCCGCAGACACGCTCCGGGCGGGTCGGGGCACGGCCGCTTCCCGGTAGCGTTCCCCTCGTGACAGAGCCGCTCGCCTTGCCCGGTCGCGGTTCAGGAGACCAGGTTGCCCTTTTCTTTCCCCAGGACTCGCCTCGCTGTGACTCACTCCTCGGGGACTTCTCCGGTGGTGTCGCCTTCTCAGGGGCGGGGAGCAGCGGGGCAGGGCCCAGGGGGTGGGAAACCCAGAGGCTATGGGTCAGCGGGCGGGAGCGCAGGAGGAAGGAAGGGGCTGGAGGTGACGCTAGGTGGAAACTTAATCTCCTGGGAGTTCACCGGATGGCTATAGGGTCCACCCGGGGCAATTCACTTAGCTGACCTCTACTCCTTCCTGCCCCCATCCCCACGCGCACCCCCTTTCGCACACACCTTTATTTTATTTTATTTTTTTTAAGGCTGGAGTGGACTGCCCAATACCAAATAGGAATTTGTACTCTTTCCCCGGGGGATGCTTCCATCAGGGAAGTCTAGAGCGCATGCTTCCTCACAAGGACCGTCCCAGTGTCTACCAAGCCAGCGCGTGCCTCTTTAATTTTGAATTTTAAGCGGCGATTTTTAAGTGACAAACAGCAAATCCTCAAGTTATGCAGATGGGAAGCCACGCTTCGCCTTTGTCTGTTCCAGAAAGCCAGGCACGCCAGCAGATGGACAGGCTTCTTGGGCAATTTCTGAAGATTGAACCACCTCCCAGGCGGAACATTGGAAGCTGCAGTCGCTTTCAATCAGGCAGAGAGCATGAAGGAGTATTTTCCTCTAGAACACCAGGGTGGAGCTGTCGGAGCCCTTAAGTGGCTCTAAATCAGGGATGCAGGATCACAACTCTCATCCCCGAAGCTTAATAAAATATTGGTTCCTGAACCGCTTTGCCGGGGCATTAAATAGCCTTCCGTGCATCGCCCCGTCACCCCTGGGTGAGGCTACTCTCCACCAGATAATGCCAGCTGGTGATGGTCACATACTGTCTTTCTTAAAAAGGCTTGGAATCAGCAGCTAGATGCAGGCGAGGGGAGTTTGCTGCAGGAGACGCTTAAAAAAACAAGCCCACACATGCACACACAACAATGATATTTAACTTTTAAAAAATATTTTCATGGAGGGTCCATTTTCAGCTGCAATTTTTGTCAAAAGCTTACCTATCTTGTCCCTCTGGGTCTCCTTACATTACAATAACAACATCCTAGAGTGGAGCTCTTACATTTTTCCTCTGTAAAGAAGTAGTTTCTCCCTTTCGATTTCTAATGTTAATCATTTGCATCTTATGAACCAACAGGAAGGCTAATGCTGTGAGGCAAATGCTTCATATGTATTCCATTCAGTATTTCATAAACTACATTTGACATATACATTGCTAGTATTGGATGGATTCTGTAAAATTCCTATGGGGATTTTTTTTTTCTTCTTTTAACAGAGGCTCTACATAGCTTGCATTATAACATATCATCCTAACTATTTAATCTGGACCCCCCACTTTGTCTGTCTGACCACCTTTATTTGAAGGTGGGAGTTAATATAGCATAATTGCTAAAAAGTAGATCTGCAAAAGGCAGAGTGTCTGATTTGGGTCCTCACCTTTACTGACTATAATACATGATCTTGGGCAATTTACTCAACCTTTTTAGGCTTCAGTCTCCTTAAATGTAAAAAGTGATAACAATAGTGTTGGTCTCTTGAGATTGTTGTGATAATTGAGATCACACAAATAACTGGCTAGGTGTAGTAGAAGGGGCCTGAGATTTAGGGAAGGGTCAGAGTCTAGTTAAAACCCCTGCCTGCACTTAGCAAGTGACCCTGAGCAAAAGTCAATCTTTCAGGATCAAAATGTGATGACACATTGGAGTACTATCTTTAAAGATGAACAGTTAAATTGGATCAAAACACATTGCATAAATTAAGACAATATATACACACCTATGTATGGATTTTAGGAAGCAACAAACATGTTTGTATGTAAAGTCAGTAGCTTTCATCATTCTTTTTAAAGAGGAATTTGTCCTAGTATAGGAAAATGCTTTGATAAGCCACTTGGAGCAGTAACTCCCAAGGCTATTAGTTATAGATGGCTAGAGCCACAAAAGTGATGGTGAAATACTCTGTATTAAACAACATAATAAAAATAGGAATCACATAATAATACAAATAGAAACTTGGAAGAAGAGTGAAGAGGGAGATGCTGAGAAGAGAAGAAGGCACAAAGACCAAGCCATGTAATTATAAGTTTGAAAAGTAATAGTAATTGAAAACTTTCTCTCTGCTAAATTATTCTAAGCCATTCATAGGAAGTAATGGAAAAATTCCCCTCATAAAAACCCTATGCGGTGGGCCTGGTTATCACATTCATGTTGCTCATGAGGAAACTGAAGCCCAGAGACATGAAATGCCTTTCCCAAGGTCATACAGTAACTCACAGTAATGGGAAAGCCACAGTTCTACCCAGGCACTTCAATGCTAGAGTTTCATTCCTTTTCCCCTTTGCTTATCTAAAAATAAACTTCTGACTTTATTTTTGGTTTGGGAGGGCATTTAAACATAAATTCCTTTATCTTCCCAAAATGTTAATGAAGTCTCCTACTCTCAAACACATTTTCCTTAAGAAGATTAACGAGGCAGATCTGCATGAATCAGGTATAGTGCATATAAAATGGCAAGACCATTTTTTAGACTGAAATAATTTAGCATAAGCAAAAGTTTAGAGTCAGAAATAAAGTAAAGGAGAGGCTATATGTCTTTAAAAAAATCTAGGGAATGGATCCACCTTACTTAGTTCTTAAAAGAAAGAGCTTTTCCAGCTGCATCTGGAACACAATTGCTTTTGCTACAACTAATGATAGATATTGTTCCAATGACATATACAACACTGTTTAGTCAGGGTTCAGAGCATCTTAATGGGTATTTCTTACTCCAAGAGGTAATGTGCAGCCAGAAGAAAACATATCTCATGTTACCTAGCATAGGAAAATACTTTTGCATCTTCAGTATCCTATATAATAAAGAGGTAATATGCAAATTGACCATCATATCTTCGCACAAGATGCCCGCCCTCATGTGGTCACAAGATGGCTGCCAGAAGATGACCTGCAGAGAAAGGCAGTTGTGGGTAATCAGGCCAGCAGGGGAGGGCAGTTAGTGGGGACCAGGCCTGTAGGAAAGGCAGTTGGGTGGAATCAGGCCTGCAGGGGATGGAAGTTGGGGGACCAGGCCTGCAGGGGAGGGCAGTCGGGGGGGAGGAACAGTCTTGCAGGGGAGGGTAGTTGACAGTGACCAGGCCTGAAGGGGAAGGCAATTAGGGATGAATAGGCTAGCAGGGGAGGGCAATTAGGGGCAACCAAGCCTGCAGGGGTAGGAAGTGGGGGGAGGGGGGCAGACCAGTCTTGTAGGGGAGGGCAGTTAGGGATGACCAGGCCTTCAGGGAAAGGCAGTTGGGGGCAACTAGGCTGATAAGGGAGGGAATTAGGGGTAACTGGGCCAGCAGGGGAGGGCAGTTAGGGATGACCAGGCTTTCAGGGGATGGAAGTTGGGAGTGACCAGGCCGATAGGGGAGGGCAGTTGCGGGTGACCAGGCTGGTAGGGGAGGGCAGATAGGGGCAATCAGGCCAGCAGGAGAGGGCAGTTGGGGGGATCAGGCCTGCAGGGGAGGGCAGTTAGGGGTGACTGGGTCAGAAGGGGAGGGCAGTTTAGGCCCATTCCTATGGCAGTCGGACATCTCTCTCTCAATCCGGGACCACTGGCTCCTAACCACTCACCTGCTTGCCTGCCTAATTATCCCTATCCACCTCTGCCTGCTTGCTGATCTCCCCTAACTGCCTCTGCCTACATGCCTAATGCCCCTAACCACTCTCCCCTGCTGGCCTAATCACCCCTAACTGCTCTCCATTGCCAGCCTGATCATCCCTAACTGCTCTCCCTACCTTCCTGATTGCCCCTAACCACTTCTGCCTTGGCCCTGCCACCGTGGCTTTGTCCAGAAGGATGTCTAATTAGCACATTAGCCTTTTATTAGTATAGATAAATGCTAACTGGTGAGAAAGAGCTCCTCTTCATAGGACATAGACTTTGAAACAAACTTATTAGGGAACGTGATAGATGGAGATAAAAGGTTCTTCAGTGATGGGACTA